GAAATTAAGTGTTAACGAGCAGTTGGACAGGTGTACCTAATAAAGTGGCCGGTGAGTGTATGTTTCTAAGTTCTACCAAAGTCACCAGTTCCTCTGTGTTTACAGTCATTTATTAAAGACGTGTAAACGTGGAAATGTCTGTCAGTCTCATATGCCGCTGAAGAAAGCAGCTTCACACACCAACACCCACACACCTTTGAGTGAGGCAAACTCATTTTTACACCCCACTACTTATTTAGACAGTTTTCTCACTCATTCTCCATAATATTTTACATATTTAAATGGAGGCGTGTCAGGGGAGGTGTCTCACGTGCGCTCAGTTCCACGTTCATTGGGATGTATAAAGGAAAGCTGCGCAGGAACCTGCGTGCGCAGTTTTAWACATCTGAGTATTTTGGTGCGGCGCACTTTTCTAAATTTGTCCGTACGTCAACTTTTAGTGTGAAAGCTGCACACTCCTTTATGCATGAGGCCCCAGAAAACGAGTCCATCCAGCCTTTCAGAGTCAGAGTCTGACCCAGGGCCAGAGGAGAATTAAGATGAGGAGATTGTAGTTGTCCAGACCCTATATGGCAAATYCATCCCAGATAATTTGACGTAATGGAGAAAACTGAACGGACCAAAAAAATATAGCCCAAACAGAATATAAAGAAATCTTTGCAGCACCAGAGACTAAATTCAACTTTTCTACCTCCTAGAGACTCTAAATACACAATAAAATATATTTAGCAGCTTAAAAAGTGGATTTTATATGTCCCCTTTAAAACCAATCAAAACTTAAAGCGGTGACATTTAAAAATTAAACMATTCAGCAACTTTTGCTACTTTGCTGTTTTCTCAGCAAGATTGAAAGTGATAAAATCCACACCTTTAACAAGCTAAATAAAGAAGCCTGTGATTTTGTTTGCTCACACTTTTGYGTAAATGAAGATAAGTGGTTGCTCCGGTTTTATGAAGGGGATCTTTTTACCTCTGCCCTCAATGATCCGTGGAACCTGTGAATCAGGGTTTACCTCACACAGGTAAACCTCTGCACCGAGCGATCTTAGGTAAGCCTCGACTGCGCTGACGGGTGTGTTCAAAGTCTTTGTCAAGGCCTGCAAGAATTTATTTATATATCTATGACTAAAAGCTGTTTAGACATGTTGCTGGAGAAACTTACCAACAGTTGAGGACCTGACTGTGAGTCATCCAGACTTCAGTCTGGATTTAAGAAAACCTCTTTTTGTGATGTTGCAACTGTACAAAAAAACAACACAAAATCATCACTTTTTTAATCTGTTGTTTCCAAAAATATAAATTAAATAAACACGATTACTTAATTTTTTGTTTTTAAATAATAGTTGGTTGATGATTTAACATTATATTTTTGAGTTATTGTTTGACTTCCTTCATTTTAGTCTCTAATTTAATCGTGTTTCCGTTGTTTTTTTTTGTTTTTTTTCCATCTTTCGTGACTCAGAGGGCAGGGCTTAGACCGCCACAGCCCTTGGCAGGAAATTATGTGTGTGTGTGTGTGTGTGTGTGTGTGT